CCTTCCAGTGTCTGAGCTGGGTAGTTAGGGTTAATAGATTTCATGTGATCAGAATCAGGTTACAAAAAATAACTACACTTTCAAATATGATAAGAAGAAAATACAGTTAGATTATAAAGCAACACTTAAATATTTAAAACACAGCTATTGTCAAGACATGAAATAGTATATAGACTTATGCCAGAGGTTCTTTTACCTGATTGGTTGATGATCATGTTCCAATGAATAAAGTAAGACACTCCCCACTTTTTACTGATGATGACTTAACCAAAATCTGATTTAACCAATATCAATGATTTATGGATGACAGAGAAATGTATCTACCTGCATCAGGAATTCTGTCACGTACTGTCAGGCATAAATCCGGACTGGCCTCTATCAGTTCAGAAAAGATGTCTTCCTCGACTAATGTGTTGGTTTCATCAAAAGCATCAAGTTCGGTAGCATCAGGAAGCCCAAACTTGTATTTGACTGTAAGATAACCATGAAAACAGATGTAAAAATTGATACCCAAATTGAAAACCAAATAGCCATCCTAAATACATAAATCCTTGTGTTTATTTGTTGTGAAGGCAACTTTGAGATGGCTATACACCTTGAGCAATGAAATCCAAAAAGGTGAACCCCAACAGCAATCGGATGTACTTCTTGGTATTCTGGTACTTCACCTTGAGCAACATTGCCACATCTTTAGACTGCACCTTGTAGAATATGTGGAGAGAATGTGGCTGTTATGACTTCATCAGGTTTTAATTTTTGAGACTGAGATGGACGCATTGTGGTCCCTGGCCTGTAGCAGTGTTTCAGCCGCCACTCTCGGTTTGGGCCCGCCACAGTCTTTCACAGTAAAAAAAAAAAAAAAATAATAATAAAAATAAAAACTGCCGTCTCTCTCGCATGCAGTCGCACCACATGTGCACACACACATACACACACACACACATATGGGTGCATGGAAGGATTTTTTTTTTTTTCATTTTTTGTGCATTACAATGAAAGCTGTAAATCAGCATAAACATGTCTGACAGCAACATTAATCTTTAGTCAAAGACTAAACTGTGCAGTGTTTTCTACACTACACTGTGTTTCAAGCTCCACAGTATATGCAATAAGTGACATGTTATAAATTACCTATGCTAGGCTTGATATGTAGCCAAACTTACTTCTTACCCACCTCAGCCCACTGTCTGTCAGTGTTTGAATTTCATAAGCTTTATATTCTGGTGAATGTTTTCATTTTTCTCTATATTTTGGATAGGTGAGGTGCTCCTGTGGAAACTGCAACCATGCCCACAGAAGCTGAGAATATCTGCTGCTAGGAGATACCACAGGTAGCATTCTCACTAGACAAACTAATCAGTAATTTGTTTCGATTACATTTATAATAAACCATAGCATTTACAATTTGTAGTTCACTGTAGGTTACCAGATGGCTATGGGAGATTTACCATGTATGACAGGCCGTCCTGGGTTGGAGCCTCTCTGCCTCAATGTGTACTCCCTCCAGAATGCCTGCAACATGTACAGTGCTGACTACAGTACTTTACGGTTGAGAGGAATACACCAGTACGTTTTGCTTTTTTGTAAAAACATATAGTTTCAATGTAAATAAAAGATGTTAGGCCGTCTTGTTTTACTACAATGCACATAATTTTAAAATGGTAATAACACACCACAAATGGAGTAACACACACTCAAATTTTAATTTAGGATAAACACAAGAAGCTTGTGCTGTAAAAACTGGACCAGACTCAGTGAATAACTCCCTAAGCCCTATGATAACTATTAATTCAGCTACACAGACTAATGAGCAGTGATAACTAACATGTCTTTGGGGTCATCAGGTGGGAACCTCCTTTCACCAGTGTTTCGTCTAGTTGGTCCCACGACACCTCCAGGAGGCTAGACAGTGATCACTGGCGTCCCAGAGTCACTCCCCTAATGCCAGCCATCACTGCTCCTCACACCACCACTATTTTCTCCTTTATCTTGCCTATGCTACCACACACAACATCATCAACTAGGACAAAACACACTAGCAGATTCAGCAAACAAACTCCCCTAACCAGTTGGAGAAAATGGCGGCCATTTTGAATGAGGGAGGTAGAGTCAGGGAGAGGTGCCTGTTTGGGCTAGCTCTCCCCCACCGGGTTAGGCTGTGCTCTACCTCCCCCTACTCCCCCACTCTCCAACAACTCACCTAAAACCAAACAAACTCGCCTAGACAGTCAGAGACACACTACAAACCAATTCAGAGCAATACAAACAAACCAACTCACCTGAACTAACCGCATGGTCTCAAAGAGGCTCACACAGGCCACACCCTCCACTTAAAAACACTTCCTCTTCCTGGATTTTTCTTCCTTGCTCTCCTAAGAGCCTGTCTATCCTAAGTGCTCCCCCTGCTGGCCCCCAGCTACCATTACTTCTTCTAATCCAAATCCACTGACTGGATCTTGCTGCCTCATCTGACATATCCTTTACTATTTTCCTCACACTCTGTCCACTTGCTCCTAACTCCCTAACCAAAGAGACAACAGACCTTGCTACAAATCCTCTACATCCTACTTCTACTGGACAAATCTTAACTTTCCATCCTCGCTGCTCTGCTTCTTCCCCTAACTCTACATACCTGAGCTTTTCTCTTTTCATATGCTTCTTCAACTGAAGCCTCCCATGGAACAGTCAACTCTATGAAATATACTCTCATTCTACTCCTAGACCACAAGACTATGTCAGGCCTTAGCTTTGTACTGGCTATTTCCTGGGGAAACACAAGCTTTCCTCCTAAATCTACCTGCATTTCCCAATCACAAGCATCCTCTAAACTGCCTTGCCTCCTTGCTGTCTTACCAACTTTCTCTCCCTCTTGAACAAACTTTATTGCAACTCTCTTTGTTTTAGACCCTGCCTGCCTCCCTAGGTCTTCTATTCCTGCAAATAAATTAGTTTGGCTGCTCTTTGATTTGTAAAGTTCTTCTATCAGCAGATAGTGTGCACATAATATATGAATTCAGAGGAGTCATTTCTTTAGTAACGATCAAGTATTTATTTACATCAAATGAGGCACTTATAATCAGTGATAATAAAAAAAGCTGTAGGATTCACTGGATCCATAAAAAAAAATTGTGAGACACAACATAGATATATGTTTGCAAGACTAAATGCCCTGTCCATTGTTTTAGTCGGTACAGGTATCTAGCCTATAGGATCTTATGGCTGTTGCTGGGGCTTTCTTGGTCGCAGAATCTGGGTCGTCATTCCAGCCTGCCTGGTCCTACGCATCAGTGCAGAGTTTCCTCATGCCACAGGCCAGTACTGTGGTTTCAGACTGCCCCATGATAGAACCGGGACACATAGCTGGATATGACCTCTTCCTTCTCAGGCCGCTCGAACTGTGCAGTGGGTCCTCTGGGATGGGGATGGCCAAAGCAGCTTCTGTGTATGGTCCCAGGTCAACAAAGACTTTTTCAAATATGAGGTCCACCACATTCCCTGTTGATAAAACACAGAAGATTTTGTTTACATTTTTTACTTTTTTTTTTTTTTTTTTTTTTTTACAAAACAATGACTGAAAGTCTGTTTCTAACTACCTCCTGACATTTTCTTTACTGTATTTTGTTGTTGGTGGAACTGTCATAACATTATACATGCAATACTTAATACAATATGTACAAAACATTTTTTGGTTGAAAATAAAGATAATATAAACACTTATAGAATGTCGGCTCAGTCTTAACTGGTGTAGCTCTGCATTCTCCCTTCATGGCCTTTGGAAAGTGGAGCTTGAACAGTGGTTCACCTTCTTTTGTTTGGGCTTGTGGTCGGTCAGCATTTTCATTGTTGTACATGGCAGCCAGGTAGAGTCTGGAGGTACAGTAAAGAGAAAATCAAAGATGTTAATGTTGACAGAAACCTTAGCCTACACACTCTCACAAGTTTTAAGTAACCACAGCTTCATTTACCTGCACAGCTTTCCAAGACTGATAAATGACTGTTAGGTTTATCAAAAGTAGATGCACTTCAGATGGCCACAGACCTGTACTTCTGATGTGAGGCTGAAGAGTCCTCAATGATAACTGTGTGCCTACAGTGGGTCAGTCTGGCATGCAACATCCCTTGTTGCAGGAAGCTGTATAGATGCACTTGATGTGCTGGCCTGAACAGAGGAAACAGAGGTTACACCAACATCTCCTCAAATGTGTAGTTATGGCAACAGCTGCAAGCAGTACAAAAATGATAACAACAAATGCACTCAATTATGTGTAAATTGGGTTGTCAATAGCTCATAAATGCTGCAAATAGCTCGCTATGTGCAAAATGCAAAAAAATGTGTATTATTCTATCCCCTTTCACATATTCCCTGTAACTCTGCGCTTATCTAGATATTCCCTACAGGCACTGGATCTGTAAACATGATATAAACGTTAAAACGGCCATCATAAGGCATGACT